CTCGAATTCAAATCATTAAACCATGCGGGTTTCCGCTGTCTGTACAGGAGTGTTGCCTCAACAAGGGTAAAATATAACACTAAGAGGATTTTCAATTTCTTTCTTCAAACTGCGAAGTGCTTTATCGTCGCTTCACGCTAATTTTCTCAGATCTCTCCACGACAAAAAGAAAAAGAAAAACGACTAATTGATACTTGATATACCTAGGGTAAATAAATACGGCATACTCCTTTTATATCAGGTGCAAACTTGACATCTACCTGAACCGCTTGCTCTAGTGCAACGCCAAAGTCGTCATATCGCAAGCGGGTATTACCAAGCTCCACTTGCTTCTCACAGCCAAGCATATTACCCGTGCCTCACAGGAACAAGAAATGACATTCAAAAGTCATTGGATTCAGCACCTGAATAACATTTGTTTTGGTATAGCTACCAACTCATGTAAATTTGAACCCTTTGAAATGCTATGTGAACAGTTCTGTACACCATTTGGTTTCGCTGTTTTTACGGATCTTTTTATGAACTATGTTTTGATGTTTCATGTTTTATGTTTTTATGTTTTATGACCTGAGCAAGAGCAAGATATATTGTGCTTTGCGTTAATTGAAGCTCCTGCTTATTAAACTTGTCTTCATTTAACTTCCTTTTCAGTGCACTCTTGATTGTTTGATATATGGGGTTTATCGTCCCAAAACCGCAATATAAATATGAGAGACCCCGTAGTCGAGGGCTCGGGCAGTTCTGACCACCTGGGGTTCTTTAACGTGCACCCTAGTCTGAGCGCACGGGCCTACAGCATTTCCGCCTCCATCTCAGTGCACTCTTGCATACTATCACTTTGCCGAGGGCACTGCCCTAATTGGCAAGTATAGTTCAACGTGGCGCTTCTTGGGAGCCATGTGTAAAGTACAGGTTTTCTAGGAACAAATTAGACATAACCAAAAAATGAATGCAGACTAAAATTTGGCCTGACATTTTGGCCTGAGATTGACTTAAGTGAAAACATGTATTTAATTATTGCTTAATTATGATCAGTCACTAACACGCCTATATTAGCATCTGACAATATTTTTGTTGTAACAGAATACTGAGTGCCTTGAAATAACGTTGTATTAATTTGGCACATTTACCGACAGTGCTTTTTTGCCCCACCAGGGTGGTCTAGAGGCTATATAAGGTACTCGGCCGGCTACTGACTCGAAGGTCGCGGGATCAAATCCCGGCTGCTGCAGCTGCATTTCCGATGGAGGCGGAAATGTTGTAGGCCCATTTGCTCAGATTTGGGTGCACGTTAAAGAACCCCCAGGTGGCCGAAATTTCTGGAGCCCTCCATTACGGCGTCTCTCATAATCATATGGTGGTTCTGGGACGTCAAACCCCACATATCAGTCATCATCAATTACCGACAGTGCTTCGTAGGTGGAGTCTGTAAGGGTTACCGACATTTTATGTTATGATGTCTATAACCGCGACTTTTCTGACGAGCAATGTTAAGGTAATTCTGAATGTTAACATGCATTTTAACTACCCGAATCAGTTTTCAGGAGTATATAAATGTAGAAGTAAGCACATTATAGTCCAATTCACCTGACTTTGTCTCTTAAAACACTACGACCCACCACCGTAACATCCGTCATTGCATGTTGAATTCGAAGCATGTCATCCATAGAGTTTCTTGCAATAATATTTAGAGGGATATCTGGCGCTAGTGTCTACGTGGGCTCCTTCAGGGGTGCTTTTATCTTCATGAGAATTGTGGGAAGTACAGGCTTCGGATCCGCTTCGGATGGATTACGCTCTTGAGATTCGCGACGCTGCTTTTCGGAGTGTAGAACAGAGCAATATGAACCTAAGTTCATTTGAAACTTGCTTCAATTATTTGTACACAAACTTTATTGCAAAACTTTTTCGTTACCAGGCGGCAAAAGGGAAACCTGGGCAAATTTCAACCACCAGGTTATGCATCGTTCTGCTATTGCGTTCCAGGTTTGGCATCAAGATTTAATGAATTGGCCCGCAGGTCGCGGGATTGAATCCCGGCTGTGGCGGCTTGATTTTCGGTAGAGGCGGAAATGTAGTAGGCCCGTGTGCTCAGATTTGCGTGCACGTTAAAGAACCCCAGGTGGTTGAAAATTTTGGAGCCCTCCACTACGGTGTCTCTCATAATCATGTGGTGGTTTTGGGACGTTAAACCCCACATATCAATTAAGAATTATTGAAACTAATTTTGTACAACACTTGAATACAAACATGCTTGTTTTCCTCTCGAAAGTGTGTATTATATATTTATGGAAATAACAGTACATTATTAAGTGAGAAACACTTATCGTTTCGTCTTCTGCGACGATGTAGGTGCGTTGGTCCCAGTGGTCCCAGTGGTCTGCCCCCAACGCACCTCTAGATTGTAGTAAAGTCAAGTCAGCGGAGCGTGACGGTGCGTCTACGTAGCTTCGTCATCGCTTTGCAGTCGAGTTCAAACGAGTTTTGGCAAGACGCACTCGTGAAAAACAGAAACTCGAAGCAATACCCGGCACTGGCATGAGACGCTACATCTATGCGCAGTGGTGAGTGGACGACGCTTCGTTTAAAGTGTCAAGTACGACTTGTAAAGCTCCAACGCCACAACAAATCTGGAGGTATAGTGTTTGTCAGCCTCTTCTAACAACAAAGGCACTGCTTGAGCCTTTTTTACCGCATCCCACAACCCACGCTGCGCAAAGAACAATACTGAAACTGTAGAAAAGAATTCCATAGACAGTTAGCTACCCCTTTCCAGTCCGAAGCCTATATTTGCCATAATTTTCATGTAGGTACACGATCGCGGCGCTAGATTCCTTTCTAAGTATTTTTGTATGAAGCTCTATGCTGTCATCCGACATGGCGCCTGTTCTATCAAGGCCGTTGCACTTGAGTGAATTACGCTTTAGTGCAACTAAAAAATACCATGTTCTCTGATAAATACATCTATAAAACGGTTTTAACCTAATATGTCTCATTTCAAATGTTGTATGTGTACTACACTGAGGAAGATTTTGTCGTAGATAGCACGCGTTTCTAACCTAATGAGTTTCAACAATTGATTTGATTGATATGTGGGGTTTAACGTCCCAAGACCACCATATGATTATGAGAGACGCCGTAGTGGAGGGCTCCGGAAATTTCGACTACCTGGTGTTACTTTAATATGCGCCCAAATATGAGCACACGGGCCTATAACATTTCCGCCTCCACCGAAAATGCAGCCGCCGCAGCCGGGATTAGATCTTGTGACCAGCGGGTAAGCAGCCGAGTATCTTAGCTACTAGACCACCGCGGAGGGGCGGTTTCAACAATTGCATTGGGTGACTAATGACATCAAGGCAAATGCCATTTGATTGTCCCTTGTGACACCACGCCTATTTCATTAAATCACAATGCACTGGGATGTTAATGCTACTTTATACACCCTTGCGACGTGGGCATAACAGAAAAAAAAATACTCGACGTGTTTTTGGCAAAAAAGGAGAGCGACCTCCTGTAGCGCCTACAAAGAGGACTCACGTGCCCCTGAATGCGAAAAAAGATCAGGTCAGACTACGTTAAATACATTGCAAGGGAATAACATCGTCAGTAAAGAACCATATGACCCACTTCCTAAAACGCTGATCCCGGAACAGAGATCAGGCCCATATCTCACTCACTCTTCGAGTACGTGTGGCAGGATTGGCTTGAATAAATATCTGGGGCAGAGAACTAAAGCATACGCCAGGCCTGCACTTCCGCTTTGCAATATACAGCTGATCTGGCTCCCTGCTTCTGAACTCTGAGTAACTGTGTAGATGTCCCACCGACTCTCTGCCTTCTTACCCCCTGCCCGCCCTTAGTCATATTTCGTTGCGTCAGCTTGTCGGCAAAAAAAAAATCAAACAAACTAACACAGCCACAGACTTTGTTACGAACAACCTACTTTCTCGGTCCGACTGCAGGAATCCCGAAATGCTTATATAACACGCATTCGTATGTTAGTATCAAAAACTGCGCGAAAAAACTGCGCTAGGCGTAAAGTACGTATTACTAGGACCAAGGAAAAAGAGACACAAAGTGCGCAGTAATCTGCCCCAGTACGAACCAGAAGGCAGCATGCCATTGCATGCAAAGAAGACGTTGTTAGCCCTTACGACAATCATGGGAATCGTGGTTCTCGGTAAGTTGGAATTTTCACATTGTTCCCAATTTCCGTCGGTCAATCACCGACTCAATGTAAGCTCAGAAAGGCTTGAAAATGAGATAGATAGGTATGTCGGGTTTAGCGTCCCAACACCACCATATGACTATGAGAGACGCCGTAGCGGAGGGCTCCGGAAATTTCGACTGCCTAGGGTTCATTAACGTGGCTTGAAAACAGGGCATGTTGGTTTGTGACCCAAAGTGTTAAGAGAGGAAAAAATATTTTAAAAAAGGTAGGCAGCTCAACTAGACTATTTTGATTAAGTAGGTTACGTTCAGTGTGAAATTGCGCCAAGAAAACAAGGGCTAAAGGAAGAGACCACGACACAGAGCGACAACTACTGAGAAACGGCTATTTGTTTGAGCACACAACTTTTGCACATTGCGCAGCACCACACAGTGTGTATACAGCATTCCACTTCTTAGAAACGGAATCTCTTTGTTAGATAAGTTCACGGACGGCGTGCTAACCCATCGAAACAATGTTTTCAGCCTAAATTGTTTCTCTTGTCAGCTAATCAATAACGGGTAATACCACAGTGCATGCGCCGTGAACAATAAGATGTTTGCGAGCATGCGTTGCGATGGCCACCCAGTCAATAAATCGGTGGGTTCTGCACACTGTTGCATTATGTCATGCCTTGTCTACATTTGAACACATTTGAATTTGCGCTAGCTGTTATAGTGTTGTAAGGATGGTCAGTCATCTATTTTGACGTTTGCGTACCGTGTCACTAACACTGCTGCGGTTCTTTTGGTGCACCGGTGAACTATACGCTCATCTTTCAGCACCGGGAGCGGCCGCCGTGACCCTCCAAAACAACACAAATCAGAACGAACATTTGCTTTCACCAGCCGCACTACTTCTAAGAGTGAAGGTGAGTTTTCGAAAGTGTTTTTACATATAGATGACAATTGAGTTCGCACATGTATTTTTAGAGTGGAATCACTGATTATCCGTGGTTACCGCACGAGATTTATTAGCTACTGTGTGCATAACTTGAATGCTATTTTTTTAGCGATATCGCCTTGAGCATCAACTTTCATTGATAAAAATCTTGATGGTGACTTACCGTACGAACAGCCCTATACTTATATTTCTGCGCCAATGGTCATTGAACTTTGGCTGCGCAGACCACACTGCATGTGCTGGACACCCTGAGTCCGGTGCTTACAGCTCTAAGTTTAAACCATGGCCAGTGAGGCACCGTCATTTCTAGTGGAAGTCAAGAATGAATCTGTCTTTCAGTGGAACGCCAGAGGACTGAAGTCGCGCATGTTTGACTCTAGACAAGTTTGTATGTGTACACCGCTTCCCCATTATCGTGATTTGTGAACCCATCCTGTCTGCTTCAATCAAGCTGTCAGGATATTAGTGATTTATGTCCTCCACTCACAGAGACTGCAGCAAAGTTATTGTATTCATGCGCCATGACCTCACTTACGTTCACTACACAGTCTCGCCTGATGAAGGGAATCAGTATGTGGGCCTTACTGTGAAGAAGGATAAGGTTGCTTTCGCGATTATCGGCGCTTACTTATCTACATCAAGCCGCCTTGATTGCGAGCGCTTACGCGGTATTCTGACATTGCCTCCAAGGCCGTAGGTGATCACTGGTGACTTCAATTCCCACCATTTTCTATGGAGAGGCTCCAGGGTCAACTCTAGAGGAAGAAAATTGGTGTCCTTAGCCACGGAGTACGAACTCTGCGTTTGTAACGATGGAAGCCCTACATATTTACGCGGATCAACCGATAGCAGCTGCCTGGACCTTACATTGGTTTCTCGCTCACTTACCAGGAAAGTGCACTGGTTTTCGGATCTGGAGATGCGGGGCAGATACCATATACCAACTTACCTGTGTATAGAAAGTTGCACCAGCTCAAACTCCTCAAGGGGCCTCAAATACACCGATTGGCCGAAATTCAAAATGTTAATGGAAGACTGCTGTACCGACGGCTCATCATATAACCTAGAGGACTCGATAAAGGATGTCCTGCAGAATACCACGCATTCACTGTTGACTAGTCAAAAGCCCACCGATTTCGACATCGAGCTTGAGAAACTTCGCGCAATATGCCGTCGTGCATAACGAAGATGCCGACGGAAAAACTGCATGGATGATTTGAAGCTGGCTAGACGCACTCAAAAGAAAATGCAGCGGCACATGAATAAACTGGCTAGGTGACGTTGGACATCCTTTTGCGAGTCGTTGGATCCACGAAAGTACCTATCAGTGATATGGCGAACTGTCCGGGGTCTTAGCACAACCTTGGGTCAGCGACACCCGTTTACATCTCTGGCACTTCACCTTCAATGCAGAGAGATTGACGTCGCCGAATTTTTGTGTAGAAGAACTGCCGGTGATTCCGATTTCACAGTATCAAGAATGGGAACATTTGACAACCCACCACCCTCACGTGATCCCCGTCTAGAATGCCATTTCTATATGGATGAGTTAGAGGCCGCACTGGCACTGTGCAGACGTTCTTCAGCACCCGGACCTGACGGTAATACCTATCGTGCCCTTTGTAATCTTGGAGACGACGCTCGGAAGGCACTCTTACGCCTATACAACGATTCCTGGCAGACTGGTACGGTTCACCAAGCATGAAAGTCAAGTCGCCTCATTCCACTTCTAAAGGCTGGTAAATCTGCTTTGGATATTGCCTGATACCATCCTATCGCGCTTGCCAGTTGTGTGGGAAAAACGATGGAACGAATGATTCTAACACGAATGGAGTAGTATTTAGAGCACTACGAAATCTATCCAGTATCCATGACAGGATTCAGGCGTGGCCATTCGTCAATTGACAACGTTGTTGATCTAGTGACATATATTCAACACCAGAAAGCCTGTGAGAGACTGTGCGCCGCCCTGTTTCTAGACGTTAAGGGGGCTTACGACAATATCACCCATGAAGCCACCCTTAGTGCTTCGGAAACAGTAGGTCATAGTGGCAAGATATATATGTTGGTGTACACCTACTTACAGCTGAGATCATTTTACGTGATGACATGGAATGGCCCAACACCTGATTATTACAGCAGCCGAGGAGTTCCTCAGGGAGGAGTGCTAAGCCCTACACTTTTCAACCTAACTCTCATTGGTCTAGTCGAGCAGCTACCTAGCACTGTAGAACTTTCTGTCTACGCTGATGACATCTGCATTTGGACATCAGGTGTGACAAGGCCTCAGCTTCGCGCCCGCCTTCAGAAGGCTCTTTCAACGACATCATGCTACCTTCGTAAACAAGGCCTCGAGGTGTCCTGCGTGAAATATGCAGTGGTAGCGTTCACGCAGAAACCAATGTCTGCTTACAGCACATCGATTAATGAAGAATACATATCGTTCAGCAGAAGCCACAGGTTCTTGGGAGTCATAATAGACAGAAACCTGTCGTGGACTCCACACGTGAACTATGTGAAGAAGCGGCTGATCACATCATGCCACATGTCCAAATTCCTTTCAGGAAAGAATTGGTGAGTACCCATACCATCCATGCTACAACTATACAGAGTGCTGTTTATCGGATTCTTACGGTACAGCTTACCTGCAATATCTAACAACGGCAAGACCAGCCTGCGCGCAATTCAGAGCATTCAAGCCCGAGCACTTAAGATATGCCTTGGATTACCCCGCAGTGCTTCAACGGCTGAAACCATTGCCATCGCTCAAGATCACTCGATAAAGACGCATATTATTACCGAGACAGTAGCATGCACCTCAGGCATTACGCCAGGACCCCTTCTCACCACCTGGCGAGCCTAGCTACTGAAAGGCTCTGCACGACATACGGCACTACTGTCTACAAGCATCGTTCATCGTTTACTGAGACGTACGCACCTGCATCAAAGCCACTGCTTCCTCCTTGGAGCTTAAGCCGGCCGCGAGTTCACTCAATGATTCCAGGAATAAGGAGAAAATCGGACTTACCGACACATGCCCAGAAAATACTGAGTCAATTCCTACTGGAACACAACTACAGTAACCACGTGCACATTTACACGGATGGCTCTACTACGCCGTCTAGTTCAGGTGGAGCAGTGGTTATACCATCGGAAGGGGTAACTCGGTGTTTTAAGACCTCACACGTGACAACGTCAACGACGGCAGAACTCGAGGCTCTGCGCAATGCACTGGAACTCATCAATTCAGAAAAAAGACTAGGTAAATGGGCTGTGTTTTCTGACTCAAAACCAGCGTTACAGTGCCTGAAATCAGTTCTGCGACGCGGATGCCACAACCAGTTGACCTACCAAACCGTGCAACTTCACCACCTTTTAATACAAAAAGGGCACGACATCGTCTTTCAGTGGTTACCTGGGCATTGTGGTATAGGCGGCAATGATTCTGCAGATCATGCTGCTCGCACGTGACATAAAGAAGCGAACAGCGTTCCGATTCCGCTTTCAAGAGCGGATTCGGCGAGGCAGATTCATCAACTGGCCCGCAGTCTCACACTGACTGAGTGGAACACATCAAGCATACGACGTACAAGACTGCACGAGCTCGACCCTTCACTACAACTCCGGCATCCACCCGGCCTACATCGACGTGCAGCTTCGCTTCTCTATCCCCTTGGGCGGGGAGTTGCTTTCACGAAAGCTTACACCACGTTAATCGGAATTACTGACAGTGCGACGTGCGATGTTTACGGCACCGACGAAAATATCGAACACCTGCTGTGTCCTCGATTTTCCTCAGATATACAGGTACTTGCCAACGCACTGTGGCGTCTGGATGATCGGCCTCTTTCTGTGCAAGTGCTATTACAGCGACTTTCACATGCCTCGACAGCCCACAAAGCAGTAAAAGCCCTGCTGTGTTTCTTCAGAAAGACAGGCTTGTGTGAACGCCTCTGACATGCAGTAGAGTTCTACGCGTTCCAGTGAAATGACTGTCAGTTTCTCCCCCACCCTTTTTTCTTTTCCCTCTCTTCCCTCTTTATCGTCTTTCTTGTCCCCTTCCCTAATCGCCCAGTGTAGGGTAGCCAACCGGATGTCTTTCTGGTTAACCTCCCTGCCTTCTCCCTTTTGTTGCTTCCTCCCCCCAATGGTCATTGAAGACACCGAGGCGGCTAAAATTACAGTGAATGTCCGATGACGTAGTTTCTTATATTCATGTCCTTATTTTGGCACGTCAGGATCTCATTACTTTTCAATTTATGTTTCGGCGAGGTTTTGTCTTGCATCGCTTTAAACATATTTCCTCTTGGATTGTTTATTTGTTTTCAGAGGAACGTTGGCTGCTCGGATAGTCCTTCATCAGACGGGAATCTCTGCTATGTAAGAGAGCCAAAAGAAAACTGCTTTCCTAACGCCCATTTTTGCATGAGCGATGTGTCTGTTTCCAGGTTCAAGTAACGTCAAACTGCATGTTTAGACACATCAAGGAAATTGAAAATCGTTCTTCTAATCATTGTCGAGCAATTTTCATGAAGCTTTGGCGTTTGCGATACTCATATTCACGAAAACACCTTCGTGGCTACGCAATCAATCACACAGCTTTTTACACGCTCCCGCACATGACCTTCAATGTCTTACCAATACGCCGTCCCTCCTAACACTGCGTTCCTACACAACCTAAAAAGTTATTTCAAAGGTATCGAATTACAAACAATATTTACAAGTTGTTGTTGTTGTTATTGTTTTTGCTGCTGCTGTTGTTGTTGTTGTGGTCGTCGTCTGTGCGGCTTATACTTACATCAAATACAGATTAAATGTTTAGCGTGCAAACTAAGCGTTACGTTCAGCACTGGGGACTTCTCCCACTTTCTGAGGAAACATAGGGATTTAGTTTTCTGGGCCCAGCACTCAAGCCACCCTAGGGTAAAGTTTGTAGACGTAAAACCGAGAGAGCTATAATCATTGTTATTTGGGCTAATTTCACAGGAAGCGTGAAGTCCTCGCAACTGCACTCACTGCTACTGCGATTTCCAATGTTACCAATGCCATCGTTGATGTATCTTATACTGCCTAATGTACCCTTTATCACCACCCTAACTATCACAACTACCATTTTAACTGAATAAAACAACAACAGCAAGGACTTGACAGTTTGCGCAAGGCTATATTCATTATGCCTACAGTAATTCAGATCAATACACGAACACCTGTAGAGATAATTTTGTTGAGTGATTTTGCTTTTTACAATTCCACAGAACGCCCAGTGTCCATATTTCTCCATGGGGGCCTGCAAGAATGGATTCTGCGCATGCGTGCCGAAAGGAACGAACATGGCTGCCATTAGGGCAGTGTGCTATGACAGCTGCTACGCAAGCTGCACGGGGAGTTGTTTAATGAACAACTTTAACAGGACAAGCCTGAAGATGCCCTGCGACACTAGCTGCACCAAACTATGCTATGAAAATTAGCAGATAATGCGAACGCTAGTAAATGAAGGCTTGTTCAAACAGCAGAATAAACTTTTTAAAAACACAAAAACCTGTGCTTGCGAAACAGAAGGACCCAAAATTTTTAGTATTTTTTATTTCGCTAATTGTAACAATCAAATTCCAAGTTCTAGTCTTAAGCCAAAGCAGCGACACTCGTTCTGAGCGATATAATAAGGAAAGTCTGGAGTGATAAGACAGGGAAACAGCGAATGATATCACTGCTGAGTTGTGAGCCTGGGTGATTTAGTGATTCAGTGTTGGGTGTAGTGCAGCTTATACGAGTGTCTTATCCCGTTTACTTGTTCTCTGTCCTGTGTTCCTTGCACTACACATAGGGAAAATGATACCACGTGTGGTAGCAGATATTATATATATAGAAACATGGACATACGGAGACACTTAGGTGAAATACAGTATGACAGGAAACATATCAAAAGTACAAAATTTAAGCAACTAAAATACACTTGTAACAGGAAGTAGGTAAAACTAAAACAACCATTCCAGATTTGTTCTTTTCATGTACTTTTACCTGAAAGTTTATTTAAGTTTTGCCTGGGTGACATTCAATAAAGGCATGTGCAGGTGACTTTCAGCCATCGGGTGTTGTCTGTATCTCTCGATGTGGTAACGCAATAGTGCTACCGCAAGTATGGGTTCGGGTCTTCATGAAAAATTCAAAGGTGCAAGTGTTGATTTGAATGAAGAAAAAAAACAGATGAAGTTTAGCTGAGCCATGCAGAACAGTGGAGCTCTTATGAGGTCACGTGGCCGCCTTGGCTGATGTTAGGTTTTTCGTCCGCGCGGACAGGTTAGAGTCTGACTTTGGCCTGTCACAAGACCATGGAAGAATGTCCTCACTCCATCGCCAGAAACAAATTTTCCAACCTGGCTGTGGGCCAGCCCGTAGAAGCATGAAACTTCCTTCCCTCGCACTGCAGGCTCGCGCCACACAGGGCAAACACGGCGCAGTGGCTGCTCCTAAGCGCACGCGTGTCTATATACAAGGCTAACCCTAGGCAGTGCGCAACAGCGTCCTTGGTTGTGAGCGAGAAAATCAGCGTTGTCCGCCAGCGACAATTTGATTTATATGCAAATGAAAAAATATTGAATAATCGGCGCATACAGTTTTCCGAAATTAACTAAAGAGGACTCCGGCGCTGTGATCATTTAGTGACTAAGGGAATGGGTAGTACACGGATTTTCCTAGTCTTCGTACTTGCGGGCAGCGAATCGCACTTGTGACTTCGTTTATTGATCTGTTTCGGTTTTGTTTTGAAAGAAATAAGGAACCCCTTTGAACATAATGACTCGATTTGGAAAGGTAAGCCTAAAAAACTATAAAGGTTATACGCAACCACTGGACATTTGTTGATTTTTTGTTTCGTGAGAAAACAGCTGCAAGCCTCACGAACACACACAGAGCCAGAAGTACAAAGATTAGACAAATTCATCTACTACCCATCGTTCTCGGCCACCACTGCTGCGACATGGTGAGAATAACCGCAATGCTATTCTCGCCCGATCAAAATAACGAAAACTTTATTTTCACCCAACTTGGCTTGGATCTGGGCGGATCTGTGGAACATTTCGGCTTTTTGTCAAAGTTTAAAGCGCCGGTTCATGCAACCTGTGCAAGCCTTTTTTCTATGAAAGCATATCAAGCGTATTTTTTGCGTGTTTGTGGGTGGCTAGGTGTTCACTTCGTTGGCGCGGACACTGTGATTGTGCTTGTTTGCAGTGTGCTTTGCGAACGTGAATAGTTAAATTGTGTTCGCGTCTGGAACCACTGAATTTCTTTGTTCGCCGACCTTCCTGGTTCACCTGAACTTGCCTGTGAAGACCACGATGTTTAGGACTCGTCAACTTGTTTCAGTGCTCTTTGACATCCGTGATATTTATTTCTCTTGTGTCTGCGGTGGTGACGTTGTGGTAGTCCGTACGTGCTGCCAGTTTTGCTGCGCACGCTTGTAGTATTGCGGTTTGTGCGGCCGTTCGGCAACTTGCTCTGGTTTTCGCGCTTGTTCCTCAAATACTTCATTTTACAGCTGTAGTAGCATCGAACTCGTAATAGCTGAGCTGTTAAATGCGCGGTACTTCAACCACTACATCATCCTCAAAAGCTGCCGATCATCCCTGATTTCACAGTACAGGCATCACACGATGTAATTTCAATGGCTATTCAGTCCAAGTTTTTCGATTGCGTTAGATGCGCAGATGCGTTAATCAAGGTCCAGAAATTCACTTTATATAGAAATTGCCCATGTGACACCCGCATGCTAAACCAAGCCTCGCTATTCTCTTCCATAGCTGCACGAGTGATGAAAAAACATTTGAACTTGAACGTACGGCTAGCACCGTTCGGTTTTTGCGCGTGGAGCAACATGTGGCTGTGGACTAGATGGTATTCTATACTTCAAACTGCTCAGCGCTAAACACAGCAACACAAGTGAGACGAGAATTAGGGCCTACATCCAATTGAAATTTTCCACAACTCCCAAATGTGTTGCTTACACCCGAGATTAAAACAACACGCTTATGCTGAAAAAAAACGAAGTGAAGCATAAAAGCAGAGACCACACATACAAGAAAGAAAAAGCGGTGACATAGAACATGTCGATGAATCCAGGTCAGCGAGTTCTTTGCAGTCAAAAGTGTGGAAGGTTCTGGGGGCCATGATGCGGGTGAGCCATAAGAACTTGTGTTTTTTTAAACAGGTGCTGGCAATCGTATTTCTAAACATGAGAACCCAAAGAAACGTCCTTACTAATGTATTTTACTTTTTGCAGATTTTCCTGTAACCCATATATTTAGAAACTTTCCGGTTTGATCAATGCAATGAATAAGCAATCTCAGTTGTGAGCTAGAACTAGTGTTGCTGAAAGACCTTTGAACCATAGCCATGCTATTCACCACAAAACTTTGTTTACTGTGCAGTAGGCATCGATTACAGCATACCTTGGTTCTGTGGACACAGTTATGTGAGTCGACGAGACGGATGCCTCAATATACAGTTGCAGGAACATTCTCAAAAAGCAAAAATCGTAGATAGAGATGGTTCTTTGGTTTCTGATTGTAAATTGAGAATGTGGTTGCCAGCCTCTGTTAGAGAAAACGCAAGCTCTTGCAGCTCAACTTTATGATAGCACTAAGAATATGGTTGAGGCGGCATAAACAGCTAACGGAAACTGGTGAAATTAAACCTTTGATGTTCCTATCTGATAAATAACTGGCTTACATGTATACATCGTCATATGCTATTCCGCCTTAGCTTTTTTTACAGTTTGTTTAAGCGCACTTTCACTTCATTTCTTTTTTCTACCATGAGCATGTTAATATTTTGGGTGTGGGCTATATATTGCATGTTGTATAAAACTTCAGTTGGAAGCCTGTGCTTGTCCTCGTGTCACTAGTATTGCTTTATCTACTGTTGTGCTGGCTATTTTCAAACCTTTGTGAAGATGCATTGTATGCATGTTGAAACCTACACAGTAAAAAAGCGAGGACGCAAGAAGAACAAATACATACCACTGCGACTTCTCGCAACTAACCGTATAAAGGAATCACATCATTAGAAGAAAACCAAATGTTTCAAACTCCACTGTCCTGGTGGACCACGATTACAAAGTTTAGTCCTGCAAAGGCTAGCACGGGGCAGAAATTGGAAGTGGAAGAGGGGGTGAATAATGTCAAATATTGTAATTTAAAAGGCTTTTTTACCGCATCCTATATATGAGAAATTTCTGGGAGAGATTTGTCGTCAAAATTAAAGAAAAATGACAATAACGACATTCAGAAAGGCTACATTAAGGATGCTGATTACGAAATAAAAAACATTTACTCCATTGTTATGTTCTGGCTGCTCGGGGCGCTTGTGGAATAAAAGCTGGAGACGAATGACATCTGTGTAATTTACCTGAACACGTTATCAAGGGCAAGATGCAAGAAATAAGGGTGACTGCCATTTAGCAAAGTGACACAACTTTTTTCTTTGTAATGTACAAAACAGCTGCTGAAGTTCTGAACAAGCTCGCTTGATGCCTTGCTAGATTTAGTAGCCACAAAAGAAAAAAATGCACGTACTACTTCTTCTGCAGAGACGATCCTCATGGTCGATCATAGGGCCTCGTCAGTCAGCCTCAACTAGAGAACCTACTTTTTGAATAGGGTATAAGTATCGGCTTCAGAGTGTTTTGTACAGGCTTGGTCACTCAAGCAAGGTCCGTGGAACACGTGTTTTAGGCCTCTGATTTAATCTGCAACCAGTGCCTAGTGTTGTTCTCGTGCACGTGATAACAATTTGACAAAAAAAAATCAAGTCAGATTTGCAATATTGGTGCCAAGCCTCAAGAGAATTGATACTAAACAACTCTTCTGTTTTTGTGTTATTAGTCTTTTACTTCCTCTTTTTCTTTTCATCTGTTAGTTCTCTCTTCTTTTTACAATTAATTTTTTTCTGTATTATAAATTTCATTCTATTTCTCTTAATTCACCCTTTTCTCTTACTTTTTATTCTGTTTTCTCCTCGTTCTTTCTATGCAACAGCTTGCTTTCTCCCCACCTTTTTTCCCTGTTCCTCACTCTCGATTTCCTTTCCAACCCACTTGCACACTATACTATAAAAAGCTATGATAAATTCTGCTAGCGTACCTGTATAGCCCAGTACTTGTTTTTAATTGTGAGTACATAGATTTCAATGCCGTACGATCGAGAAGTTTTAGCCAACATTTCGTTTTCCTTGCACTCATTCTTTAGTCCATCAGTCTTAATGCATCCCATGCCGGTCGTATCGGCGCATGTGTACTGGGAGCGAATCACAGCAGGACAAAGATCAACAAGAGGCAAAAGAAAGCATGTGGTCGTTCATGGTGATAAATATTTCTGTTCACTCATTGCGAACCAATGCTCTGCTTAAACAGCTCCACCTTTAAAATATGACAACGGTTGTCACATGCACAATCTTTTATTGTGTTCCACATGATCTTCCGATTTGGTCTTCATAAGCGAGCTTGCACTATCCGGATATCAAACAATTTAGTGAAATAAAGGTACTTTGATCATTTCGATCTATCCATCTATCTAGCTGCCTACGTCTGGTTGCTTGCCTGATCACCTCCTCTATTAGTACGTACCAAAACTGGCATACAAGAACATGAGTTTTATAACAAACATGACTGACTCGTCATCACTTGAATGGCATGAAATACCTGTCACGTAAATCATGAAACCTTTTCCCATACACATCTGGTGCATACCCATAACCCATGAAATGCGGGCTTGCCCCACAGGTTATAAGCTCACAGTGAGGCTTTGCCTTCCTAAGTGTAGCTAAAACATACATTAGAAATCTTACCATGATAACTTTAAAGAGCTTACGTAAAAAATATTACTGCCTGTTTCAGTAACAATGCTCGTGAGTAAATTATTTGTAGACAATAAAGAATAAAAATCGCAATCAAAGCCAATGGTGTACCCAGGCATTCTGTGAAGCAGCCACTTTTTCTGGTCTAGAGACACACGACTGCTGAAAGTTGCGTCCACCTAGGTGGATCAGGAGCTAAGGTGCTCGCATGCCGACCCGAAGTTCGCAAGTCTGATC